CAATGACATCAATCATAAAAAAACCTCAACAACTCCGGTTGGCCCTTTGGTCGGCCCTCACAGTCCTTCACTTCATCAAATCTGGCCCTCTTTGAAAAAAGTTTGGACTAAGCGAAAGTACACACTCAGGATCACTTAATGCAGATTAGCTCTGCCTCCACTGCTCAGAGAGCCTTCCACATTTTAGACATATCAGGGCATCCGGAATCCTAGTACAGTGGTACCTCGGTTTACAAACTTAATCGGTTCCAGAAGTCCGTTCTTAAACCGAAACCGTTCTTAAACTGAGGTGCGCTTTCCCAAATGAGGCCTCTCCCCACCGGTGCCCTTCCACTGTTCAGCTTCCGTTCTTAGACCGAGGTAAAGTTTGCAAACCGGGACACTATTTCCGGTTTTGCGGAGTTTGTAAACCGAATCGTACTTAAACAGGACTGTTCTTAAACCGAGGTACCACTGTAAATAAATGCCCGCCCTGCAAGACTGGAGACGTCAGCCTATCTCCATCTCGGTATATGTTCCGCAGCGCTCATCCCAGCCAGCAGAGGGCAGTCTGAATCCAAGAATGCCGGCATTCGGGAAGAGCATGTTCCTCTGCCCCCGGTTTTGATAAGTGCATTTAATTTGATGTGTATTTAAGTCCCAGTGAACAATAGTTAATGAAAGCATGTAAGGAGCAAAGGGTACAGGATGTTTTAGAGCTTGCATTCCGGTTAGAGAGCGTGTGGTGGGATTAATATGCAGCCTTGTAAAATGTTCTGCAGATGGGCAAATCAATCCTTGGTTTAGGAGGACAGCAGTTGTGTATGTGTGCGTGTTTAAAAGGTGATGTGCTGAGAGCTCTGATCAAATAATGGTTCACTAAGTGCCCTATTGTGCCAGGGGAGAAGCCACATGGGGCGAGAGGGTACTTGGGACCGGGAGGGGGAAGGGGGGAGAGTCTTGGCCCTGAGGAAAGGATCCACTCCTCCTATTGCTTTCTGTACATTAGAACTGCGGCACAAGTTTGAAAATTTGAAAGGTTGGCCCGAAGACTGTGCCATGGGATGGTCGGCTGAGCGACTGGGTGTGTGGGATCAGGCTTGTGTTGGAAGCAAGAACAATCCCAGTGCACCACCCTCCCCGTGTAAATTGCACAAGAGTAAAATAATGAGTGTGTTGTCAAATGCTCAGAAGAGCCCAGTGGCTGGGTCAGGCCAGAGGCTCACCTAATAGAGCATCATGTTCCCAAAGTGAACAACTGGGATCCCAACTTGAATAAAATATGGCGGCGGGGACGGACGGACACACAGGTTTGCCCCGTCCCGCACAATTGATCACAAGACGTGGCACATGAACACCATTTGAATGGCAAAGCTCATCAACATTGGGGGGTGTGTGTGTCTCCCGCAAATATTTTAGGGGAGGGGGGAAGAGACCTTCGCCCCTGTGGTGTTCTGGTCAACCAGATGCCTCAGTGGGAAAACCACAAGCAGGAACTGGACACAACAGCAGCTCTCCTTGTGAGTCCCAGCTAGCAGCCATTGATAGTCGCATCCTCCATGGGTTTGCTATGCCCTCTTTTAAAGCTATCCAAGCTGGTAACCATCGCTATGTCCTGTGGCAGAGAATTCTGCTTTCCTTTTGCCTGCGCAGAATCTTTGAGCATCCAACCCAGTTGGATGGCTCTGAGTTCTACTATTAAACACCACAGAAGCGTCTCAGAATAAAACAGGACATCTCATTTTCTTGAGTGAGAACTCGGCAGTCATTTTGGGTGCTCTGATCTGGTGTGATTCTGCGCCAAGATCTTGCCCCCAAAAGTGCTTCCCCCGAAGAAAGCACTTTTTCGGGGCCGCAACGTCACATATTCCCCCCCCCCAAGTGCATATTTTGGACTCCATGCGGGTCACACGACTCGCACAGAGTACAGGCCGGAAGTCATGGGTCCTGGTTTTGGGACTCGAGATGTTGGAAGGCAGAGCTTTTTTCCTGGGGTAACGCAGGGGTACGCATACCCCTAAACATTTTGTGAATCTAATGGGAGAAGAAACTAAAATAAAATTTAAAAAATAGTTTCTTCTCCCATTAGATTCACAAAATGTTTAGGGGTATGCGTACCTAGCACGGTGAATCGTCAGTTCGGTTGCTACCCCTGATGGCGGCCTCATTTCCTGTCACAGTGTTTCCTGAGTCTCAGGCGGAAGCAAGCGTTTAATGTGTGAAGTAGGAGTTGGAATCTAGCATGGTGATTGGTCAGTTTCATTGTTACCACCTCTGATGGCAGCTTTATTTCCATTCCCAGTGTTTCCTGAGTCTTGGACAGAAGCGAGCGTTTAATGTGTGAAGCAGTGTGGAATGTGTATGTGTGGTGTTTTACTGATGAAAGTCTCGCCTCACTGAGGGCAGTATTTTAATATGAGCAGGAAAATTACTAACTATTTTGCATCACCATGAGGTAATGCTAGTTCTTTGTACTTTTGTCCATTTACTGTATTTATTTTTCCTGATTTGAACTATAAAATGGTGGTTTTCTTTAGTCAAAATGAGAGTACCCCTAAACATTTTTTAAAGAAAGAAAGCATGGCTGGAGGGTATGGTATTATGAGAGGGGCAGAGAAAAACTTCCATAAATTGAGTTTGCTGTTGCTGTAGAGAGGCTGTAAATTGAACTGGGGATAAGTGCTCCAACGCTGCACTGATGTGTCTCCCCTCGACTCTGTGAGGCAGTTCCAGTCCAAGCATCACAACAAATTTGGGTGAGCATCTTCTGTCCCAAGGCATGGGAGCAGAAAGAGAGTCTGCCTGCCTTGCAGTCCTACTGCCAGCCTTAATGGAGCGAGCAATTCTGCTACCTGCTAGTAAACAGAAATAGGCCCCAGGGTGCCCTCCTATCGTGCCTTGAGTCAAATGGCCCGTTGGCAGGTTGGGGGGGGGGAGTCACATTTCAGCCGGAATCTCTCCAGCAAAACATACTGCATCTTCATGGGGGAGGCAGGAGGAGAAGGAGGGAAGAAGGGTCCGTTTTTTGCTGCCTCCATGCAGCCTCTCTCTGCCCACAGCACTGGCACTGATCCCCGGAGATGGAAGAAGAATGATGGTCCCAAGAGGCATTCTGGGAGAGACGCCAGGAGAGAAGGAAGCCAGGCCTTTATTCTCCTGCGGAAGAAGAGGCAATCTGTGTCTTAAGATGAGATGGTCCAATGTGGTGTGAGGCAAATTCATATTCTCAGGCAGAACGGTCACAGAGTTTCTGTGCTGGTCCCAGGAGGAGGTTACCATGAGGCGTGGTCAGAGTCTGGTCCTGGGTCGAGGGTCTGGAGACTGTTGACCAAGGGTGAAGCGGGGTCCAAAGCGAGGAGCCGGGCAAGGTCGGGAACTCTGGAAGAACAGGTCTGGGTGCTGGCAGAGACAGGTTTCCAAAGACGTTGCTCCCGCAACCTGGGACCGGGCTGACTGGCCTTTATCTTCTCTGAGGCCAGGGATGGTCCCGGCCCACAGGTGACCCGCCTCTCCTGGCCTTAAGGCGAGCACTCCTCCTGAGAGAACCCAGTTCCCTCCGCCTCTCTGCACTGAGCCTCTGCAGCTCAGGAGAGGCTGGAGGGTTACTGGACCCAGGGGGAGGCTCACCCTCCCCTGACAGGGCTGGGAGAGGCGCACCTGTAGGCAATGGGTCCTCTATCACCTTCGGAGCCAGAGTGGATTCATCTGGTGTCTGCTCCTGAGGATCCGGCACAGGTGCAGGCGCTTCAGACTCAAGGCCCTGCCCCGGCTCAGCCGGCCCTGGAGGCGGGGACTCCGGTGCCGGCTGGGATTCCTCCGGTTCAGCCTCTGAATCAGATTCCCAGGCCGTCACAGTTTCTCTCCAAGGTGGTGGTGGTGGGGGAGGAAACTGGGACCAGCAAGCAAAACTCTATCATAGGCCCTTCTGATGGGCTGACTTGGAGGAGGCCAAAAGTCACGATGATCACAGCTACTTGCAGCCATTCTACCTGGCTGTCCGAGAGGGAAGGCAAGAGAACTGGAAGATGGGTTGGATGGGACGCAGCCGGGTTCTCCTTATCTTTTTACTTCTGCCCACCCCTAACAAAGAGAGAGAGAGTCAACTTTGAAGACTCCTAGCACAAAGAACCATGGCCCTGTTTTCCTACAATATGGCCAAGGAGGATGGGAGCTGGGGGCCACCAGGTTGCAGAATGGCTGGATCCTGTGCAACAGATTGCATTGTTGCTCTAACTATATTTCTTCTATGGAACCTTCCTAACTTGACATTATGGAAAACTGCTACAGGGAACCAGGCAGAGGGCCTTCTCGGTAGTGGCGCCCACCCTGTGGAACGCCCTCCCATCAGATGTCAAAGAGATAAATAACTACCTGACATTTAGAAAACATCTGAAGGCAGCCCTGTTTAGGGAAGTTTTTAATGTGTGGCATTTTAATGTATTTTTAATCTTTGTTGGAAGCTGCCCAGAGTGGCTGGGGAAACCCAGCCGGATGGGCGGGGTACAAATAATAAATTATTATTATTATTATTATTATTATTAGGCAGGTTTCTTACCCAAAGCCACTTCCCTCATCTCTCCCTCATTTGCCTATTATTTGGCGGTTGAATTCACTCTAGAGCACCGGTCTTCAACTGATGGGCCAGCACTGGAGCTGAGCGATATATTGGCAGATTGTCTGAAAACAGAATGGTGCTAGCCCAGAGATAGATGGAAGGAATGACCCCGGCTAAAGAAGAATGACAAACCAAGTTGATGGACTATGCCGAAATGGCAAAATTAACTGGGAAGCTCACAAATCAAGAAGACAAGAACTTAAAAAGAGAGAAAAGAATGGGAAAAGTTTATGGTTTATTTACGAGACCATCGTATTAGCAGGATTTTAATTACACTTGCAAAAGTAATGGAAAGTTTGGAAGGACAAAAATTTGGACAAGTATTGATATGCAGTTTGTAAATATTATTATTTGGACCCATGGAAGGGATGGGGTGGTGGAGAGTCAGGAGATTCAGAACAATCTTGATATTTGATTTTTTTTTTTAAAATGTACGTTTACGTATTTATTTTTAAAAATCAAATAAATAAATAATTGAAAATAAATGAAAACAGTACGGTGCTCAGATTGTGATACTGGTTCCAGACAGTTTGAGCTGGCAATACATTGCGCCAGCTCAAATTGCCTGCGGATGGCAAAGGCACAGGCAGGCAGGCAAACAAACAGACAGAGTCGGAGAAAGGTTCTGGGTGAGGGCCTTCTGGGGCTCCATCTCCTTCCTTGTGTGTGCCTTTAAGGAAGCCCCTCCCCCTCTGGCTCACACAAGCTGGAGCGGTGTGGGGGCTCACTCAGCTGAGGAGGCTTCCTGCTGAGCAATTTGAATGAAGTGGGTATTCGTATGGGAGCTTGGGTTTGGTGATGTATCTCCGTTGCTCCTCCCTCCCCTAAGGTGGGGAGGAAGAAGCAGCCAAGATACATTCCAGATATTGTGATATATCAGCATAGCATGGTATTTAGCTGCAGATATATCACGATATTGAAAACCAGATATCGGCCAGGACAACTAGTAGGCTACATCCTGATCCAAGGTGGGTCCACATGGCTTGAAAAGGTTGGGTCTACTAGCCCCAACTTGAGTTGCACAACTTGAAAACTACACGGCACAGGAAATTTTTATTCGCACCAGTGAAATGGGACATGTGAGATAGCCCAGTACAGCGATTTTAATCAAAATCTGAGATGTAGTAGGTTTTTTTTATAACAATAACAGTGGTTACTCAGACCTTGTTGCTGGTTGCAAAGTGGTCCTCATAACATTTAATGTTTCAGGGCCCCCAAAATGTAGGTCTGTCACTGGCTGAAAGGATGTCTGAATAAAATTTCCAAACTTGCGGCATGTGCTTCATTACCCCTGCACAATGTGGCCTCGCTTCAATTTTCAGAGGCAGAATAGCCCATTTTTTTTGCAGAATTCACATTGCAGAATCCCCCATTTCTGGAAGCAGAATTGGGATTGCCTGACCGCAGAACTTTATTTATTTAGCAAGCTTGGCTACTAGGAAATTCTAAGGAAGTCTGCCACCCTCCAGGCTTTGTTGCAGAGGCAGAAGCAGATACAAAATGATCCGTAGATTAAAGCTCTCTTGATTGTAGTTGGACACCCCCCTCCCGAATCTATTGCCTGCCTCATTGGGCAGCCCTTCGGTGACGGATGACCATCCCTAGAACTAAGAAGGGGCACAGAATGCAGTGCAGGACCCCCAGCCCCTCGGATAGCCCCAGGAAGTAGCTGAGATGCTCTTGCAAGCTGCAAGTATGGGTGAGCAAGTTCATCTGCAGCAGCTTGTCCAGGATCAGGGCCACTCCATACGGCGCCCAGAGAAGGTAGAAGAGCCAAGTGATGACCGCGGGCGGGTGCCACCCAGCCCTCTCCCACTTCAGCGCCACCTTGGCCAGAGCAACCCCCACTGGGAGGATGTAGAAAACAGCTATCCAGAAGATGATGTGAGTGAGAGACCACCAGAGCAGCTCAGGTGCCTGTCTCAGGGCACATATTGCTTCCCCGTCTTTCCCCGTGCCGTGGATCACAGCTGCGGGGATTGCAAGCAGGAAGCCTGTGACCCAGAGAACGAGAGGCAAGAGGCAGCCAGGAAGGGCGGCCTTGGGCATTGGACACACACAGGCAGCCACCAAGAGCCCCTGGGCAAACTGGCACCCATACTTCATGGCCTGTGCCGCCTGGCAGAGCCCGTCCCCGAAGGTCCAGCCCCAGCTGATCCCGGCCGCGAAAAACGGCAAGATGGTGGCAAAGAGGGCAGTTGACAGCGTTGTGAGAATGAGCCCGGTTTGCTCCCAGAGTCGGAAGCACATGACCAAGGCGATGGCCAGGGCGAGACTGCCGAGGATGCCCAAAGTGCCGGCTACCACCAGGAATGTCGGGATGGCGCCGCCGACCGAGGAGCAAAATGTGCTGTAACACGGCGCAGGGAGAGCGCTGTCAGCGAGCGTGGTGTCTTCGTAGGTATAATAATCGGTCCAGGTGGGCAGCAGGTCTGCAAAGTCAGCAGATTCCAAGACATGGCTTGGGCTCCTGTCCTGCAAAAAGGGCGAGACACAACACAGAGGTTTAGAGAGCACCCTTAACAAAAATAAAATAAGCAGAACTATTTCAGCCAAACGCAAATGCATGGATGATGTCACCAGAAGCAGTTATAATAATAATAATAATAATTTATTATTTATACCCCGCCCATCTGGCTGGGCCTCCCCAGCCACTCTGGGCGGCTTCCATAAAAACCAAAAATACAATAAAATATCACATGTTAAAAACTTCCCTGAACAGGGCTGCCTTAAGATGTCTCTTGAATGTCAGGTAGTTATTTATCACTTTGACATCTGCTGGAAGGGCGTTCCACAGGGTGGGCGCCACTACCGAGAAGGCCCTCTGCCTGGTTCCCTGTAGCTTTGCTTCTCGCAATGAGGGAACCGCCAGAAGGCCCTCGGCGCTGGACCTCAGCGTCCGGGCAGAATGATGGGGGGTAAACGCTCCTTCAGGTATACTGGACCGAGGCCGTTTAGGGCTTTAAAGGTCAGCACCAACACTTTGAATTGTGCTCGGAAACGTACTGGGAGCCAATGCAAGTCTTTCAAGACCGGTGTTATATGGTCTCGGCGGCCGCTCCCAGTCACCAGTCTAGCTGCCGCATTCTGGATTAGTTGTAGTTTCCGAGTCACCTTCAAAGGTAGCCCCACGTAGAGTGCATTGCAGTAGTCCAAGCAGGAGATAACCAGAGCATGTACCACTCTGGCGAGACAGTCCGCAGGCAGATAGGGTCTCAGCCTACGTACCAGATGGAGCTGGTAAACAGCTGCCCTGGACACAGATTTGACCTGTGCCTCCATGGACAGCTGTGAGTCCAAAATGACTCCCAGGCTGCGCACCTGGTCCTTCAGGGGCACAGTTACCCCATTCAGGACCAGGGAATCCTCCACACCTGCCCGCCTCCTGTCCCCCAAAAACAGTACTTCTGTCTTGTCAGGATTCAACCTCAATCTGTTAGCCGCCATCCATCCTCCAACCGCCTCCAGACACTCACACAGGACCTTCACCGCCTTCACTGGTTCTGATTTAAAAGAGAGGTAGAGCTGGGTATCATCCGCATACTGATGAACACCCAGCCCAAACCTCCTGATGATCTCTCCCAGCGGCTGCATGTAAATGTTGAAAAGCATGGGGGAGAGGACAGAACCCTGAGGCACCCCACAAGTGAGAGCCCAGGGGTCTGAACACTCATCCCCCACCACCACTTTCTGAACACGGCCCAGGAGGAAGGAGCGGAACCACTGTATAACAGTGCCCCCAGCTCCCAGCCCCTCAAGACGGTCCAGAAGGATGCTATGGTCGATGGTATCAAACGCCGCTGAGAGATCCAGCAGAACTAGGAAACAGCTCTCACCTTTGTCCCTAGCCCGCCGGAGATCATCAACCAGTGCGACCAAGGCAGTTTCAGTCCCATGATGAGGCCTGAATCCCGACTGGAAGGGATCCAAATGGTCCGCTTCTTCCAGGCGTGCCTGGAGTTGTTCGGCAACCGCTCGCTCAATCACCTTGCCCAGGAATGGAAGATTTGAGACTGGGCGATAGTTGGCCATCGTGGCCGCATCTAAAGATGGTTTTTTAAGAAGCGGTTTAATAACCGCCTCTTTCAGCGGGTCTGGGAAGGCTCCCTCACGGAGGGAAGCATTCACCACCCCACGGAGCCCATTGCCCAGTCCTTCCCGGCTAGCTTTTATAAGCCAGGATGGGCAAGGATCCAGGAGACAGGTGGTTGGTTTCACTCGTCCAAGCAGCCTGTCCACATCCTCGGAGGTAACAGATTGGAATTGATCCCACTCAACTTGACTAGACAGAACTCTAGCACTCTCCCGCCCCGGCCCTGCTCCCACGGTGGAGTCTACTTCTTCCCGAATCTGAGCGATTTTATCTGCAAAAAACTTTGCAAAATCATTGCAGGAGAACATGTGGCCCGTACTGGGCCCCGATGTTGCAGGTGGTTCCGCTAAATTGTGAACCACCTGAAAAAGTCTCCTGCTGCTGTTTTCTGCAGATGCAATAGAGGCGGTGAAGAAATTCTTCTTCGCCGTCGCTATCGCCACTTGGTAGGCTCGATGTTGAGCTCTAACCTGTGTCCGGTCAGATTCGGAATGAGTTCTCCGCCACCGGCGCTCTAGCCGTCTCAACGATTGTTTCATTGCCCTCAGATCCGTGGAAAACCACGGGGCTGTCCGGGCTCCATGCAATCGGAGAGGGCGCTTCGGAGCCAAACAGTCAATAGCCCTGGTTAACTCCACATTCCAGCGGGCCACCAGGGAATCAGCTGAAAGGCCATCAACATGGGATAAAGCATCCCCTACCACTCTCTGGAAACCATTTGGATCCATTAAGTGGCGGGGGCGGACCATCCGAATTGGTCCCACCTCCCTGCAGAGGGGAAGGGTCGCAGAGAAGTCCAGTTGCACCAGGAAGTGATCTGACCATGGCACTTCTTTCGTTTCGCTTTTACTTAGTGTCAGATCACCAACATCCATAGAGGTAAACACCAGGTCCAAGGCATGTCCACGGCTATGGGTTGGGCCAGACTTATTCAGGGACAGCCCCATGGAGGCCATGCTTTCCACGAAGTCCCGAGCGGCCCCTTGTAAGGTCGTGTCGGCATGGATGTTAAAATCCCCTAGGACGACCAAGCTAGGTGTCTCCAGGAGAACATCCGCCACGACCTGAAGCAGCTCGGGCAGGGAATCCTTGGTGCAGCGGGGAGGTCGGTACACCAAAAGGAATCCTGTACTGCCCCTATTGCCCAACTTCCAGAACATGCACTCAGAAAACTGGGTCTTCCCAACAGGACGCCTGGTGCAAACTAATGACTTCCTAAAAATCACTGCAACCCCCCCTCCCCGCCCACATGACCTGGGTTGCTGTGCGTAAGAGAAACCTGGTGGACAAGCAGCGGCAAGGACAGACCCATCTGCTTCATCCAACCAAGTCTCTGTTATACATGCCAGGTCAAATCCTCCATCCATGATCAAGTCATGGATGGCAGTGGTCTTATGAATCATTGACCTGGCATTGCACAGCAGCACCTTCAGGTCATGTGGGTATCCCTTGCTGATTCTAGTATCCATCCGGTCAGGACCAGACCCGGAGGCAGGGATAGTCCTCAGACAACGACTAAACCTGCCTCCTCTGTAATGATAGGGTCTGGTCTTAGCGTAACTCCTCCTCCTACCCGTGATCACTGAGATCGGTTGTCCCAGTGCATCCTGCCCTGTGGAACATGCCCCAGCCATTTTATGGGCTGGGGCCCACTCCCCGGCAGCCCTGAACCCTCCCCCTAAAAACAAAATAACACCTTAAACAAACAACCAAAACCAATAAAACAATACAAACGAAAAATGTAAAAATTACAAAAACATCAAAATAAAAAAAAATAATAATTCCCCAAGCCCAACCAACATCCATCCCACCCCCACCCCACACATACAAAAAATCCAAAGAATTAAAAAACAAACAAAAAAAACACATTTTAAAAACACTCTGTGCCTCTCCGGCAGTAACAACTGTCCTGGTGAGGCCTGTCAGGCCCCGCCCTGGGCCAGATGGTAAGTGGCAGGAAGGAGCAGGGCCCTCAAGCACTCACTCAGGGAGTCTTCCTGGGCAGCAGGCCGCAAGCCGCACGCAGTCCTTATGAGGCCCCAGGCCCCGCCCCAGGCCAGATGGTAAGTGGCAAGAGCAGGGCCCTCAAGCACTCACTCAGGGAGTCTTCCTGGGCAGCAGTTGCACGGGGAAGGTCTGTAGCTGGCTCAGGGGTGGAGCATCTGCTTTGCATATGGAAGGGCCCAAGCTCAATCCCTAGTGGCGTCTCTAGGTGGGGGGAGACGCTTACCAGAAGCCCCAGGGAGCTGCTGCCAGTTAGGGTTGGCAATACTGTACCCAGACCAGCGGCTTGACTCAGTGTAAGACAGCTTCCTATGTTCCTTTGCTGCCTCTCCTGAGAGCCAATAAACAGCACAAGCAACACGAAGACCAGCATACTAGATATCACTGCAATTCTTGTTACATAATATACAACAAAAACAAATTGTGTACACTTGTAAATTCTCTAATATATTTGAAATCAAAAGAACACATGTCTCAAACTTTGAAAGTCCGTAGAAGTTTAATGAGTCTATAGTTGAAACACTGTCTACCTGGTTTCTGGTTGCTCCACAGAGACCTCTGGTGTCACATTTTAATAATAATGCATTGTGAACGTTAAAAACCATGAGTGTAGTTCTGCCTCCAGTGTGGTGTGGTGGTTAGAGTGTTGGACTAGGGCCTAGAAGACCAGGGTTCAAACCCCTACTTGGCCATGAAGCTCCCTGGGTGACCTTGGGCCAGTCATTGCTTTTCAGCCTAACCTACCTCACGGGGCTATTCTATTCTATTCTATTCTATTCTATTCTATTCTATTCTATTCTATTCTATTCTATTCTATTCTATTTGTATACCACCTTTCATCTATAGATCTCTGGGCAGTTCACAACATAAAAATACAAGATAAAAAAAACACCACAAAATACATAATAAAATTAAGGACAACAACAAACCAATAACCTCCTCCCATCCCACAAGGGCTTGACATGTCAATCAGCCAAAGGCCTGTTTGAAGAGGAATGTTTTTGCCTGGTGTATAATGAAGGTGCCTGGTGAACCTCCCTGGGGAGAGAATTCCACAACTGAGGAGCCACTGCAGAAAAGGCCCCGTTCTCGTGTTGCCACCCTCCGGACCTCTTGCGAAGGGGGCACACGAAGAAGGACCTCAGAGGATGATTGCAGAGTCTGGGTTGGTAGGGATTAAATGAGATGGGGGGACGGGACGCACCATGTACGCCACCTTGAGCTTTTCGCAGAAATAAGATGGGATAGAATTGCAACCAACCAACCAACAAAATCTTAGTGGTGGCTGGTGCCCATTGGCAGGGTGGGAGGCAAGGTGTCAAAAATTAGGTGGAGGCAGAGCAGAGCCATTCCAATTCCATTCCCTTCTTCCTCCATC